GCGGCCCGGGAGCGCTCCCCGCGCTCGGCCAAGCGCCTCATAGACGCGTGCGCCCGCGCGGAAGAGTGGGGCGAGCCGGACGCTGACACTCGCGCTGCCTTCCTGCTCGGGGGCGCGGGCGTGTACGCCGTGGCCACGCTCGTGTACCACGCCCTGGGCCGCTCCGACTATGTGCAGCCGCTGGGCAAGTTCCGGGCTCTGTGCGCCGTCTGCGCGCCAGTCTCCTTCCTGGAGTGTGGCTCCGACGAGCTGTTCGTGGGCCGCGCGGGCTACCTGTGTGCCGCTCTGGTGCTCAAGCAGAAACTCGCCCAGGAGGTAAGAGGCAGCCCCGGCCGCGGGAGGGCGCTCCCGCCTGCCCGGCCCTGCCCAGCCCTTCCCGGCCACCTTGCCCCCGGACTCCCTGACTCGGGCAGCACCGACCCTGGTTAAGTCCTTCTTCACCTCTCTTTGTTACGCTCTGTCTGGTGCTGTCATTTCTTAAGTCTCTTGAGATTTATTTCCTGCGCTTGTCCAGCTTCTTCCCTCCTTTTCAGCTTTTCACTGTTGAGATTCCGCGTCTTTGCACTTTGCTGGGTTTGTGACACCAAGTGTGGCGTCACCCCTGATGCCTCTTTGCCTGGTCGCTTTCTGGGGGCTTGACAGGATAGCCCTTTCAGAAGAGAGAAAACTCACAGAAATGGAAGGGATTTCTTTTCCTTTGACTCTGCTGTCGGATATTAGAGTATTGGAAAAGTATTGAAACTTTTGGGGGTGGATGTGGATGCAAGTTGTTTCTGGACCCTTGGGGTCTGTCACCAAGAATAACTGCCCAGCTCTAGGTCTGAAGTGCTTACGGTGTTACTTGCTATTCGGTTCATCACATGGCTCTTATTAAATGCATATCGGATGAGATTCTCCCCTTTTACAATACATAAATACAGACGAAAATGTATTCCATTGTGTTCAAATGTGCGTTTTTCACTTGGAAATGTATACCTAGAATGGCCAAGGCCACAGAATTATTGACTGGGCATCTTTCCTTGATGAATAGCTTTTCAGTGTCTCCTGGAAGTGAACTGGGTTTCACAGCTACATGTATGTTTTGTTTTGTTTCTGGATTCACTTTGAATACAGCATGTGGATATTCCAAGAGAATATGCCAGTTCCTGTTGAGTTGGGGGGAAAAAAACTTGAAAGGATCATAGTAAGTAGAACTGAGAGGCATTTTCATTCATAATCCACTGGAGACAAGTATTGTTTTAGGGAAGTGACACATTTAACTTGGCTTTATTTGGGTGAGAAAAGAGTTTGGAGAAAAACTAAAGGGAGACAGTGTTTTCAAAGTGTAATTAACTTAGATAACCTCTGCAGAGACAGGCTTGATTTTTTTTTTTTTTTTTTTCTTTTTCGTTCCATTGAAATATGTCCTGTGCCTTACTTGACAAGCTGTTGCAAAATGCTTAAAAAAATTTTCGCGCTGCCTTCCTGCTCGGGGGCGCGGGCGTGTACGCCGTGGCCACGCTCGTGTACCACGCCCTGGGCCGCTCCGACTATGTGCAGCCGCTGGGCAAGTTCCGGGCTCTGTGCGCCGTCTGCGCGCCAGTCTCCTTCCTGGAGTGTGGCTCCGACGAGCTGTTCGTGGGCCGCGCGGGCTACCTGTGTGCCGCTCTGGTGCTCAAGCAGAAACTCGCCCAGGAGGTAAGAGGCAGCCCCGGCCGCGGGAGGGCGCTCCCGCCTGCCCGGCCCTGCCCAGCCCTTCCCGGCCACCTTGCCCCCGGACTCCCTGACTCGGGCAGCACCGACCCTGGTTAAGTCCTTCTTCACCTCTCTTTGTTACGCTCTGTCTGGTGCTGTCATTTCTTAAGTCTCTTGAGATTTATTTCCTGCGCTTGTCCAGCTTCTTCCCTCCTTTTCAGCTTTTCACTGTTGAGATTCCGCGTCTTTGCACTTTGCTGGGTTTGTGACACCAAGTGTGGCGTCACCCCTGATGCCTCTTTGCCTGGTCGCTTTCTGGGGGCTTGACAGGATAGCCCTTTCAGAAGAGAGAAAACTCACAGAAATGGAAGGGATTTCTTTTCCTTTGACTCTGCTGTCGGATATTAGAGTATTGGAAAAGTATTGAAACTTTTGGGGGTGGATGTGGATGCAAGTTGTTTCTGGACCCTTGGGGTCTGTCACCAAGAATAACTGCCCAGCTCTAGGTCTGAAGTGCTTACGGTGTTACTTGCTATTCGGTTCATCACATGGCTCTTATTAAATGCATATCGGATGAGATTCTCCCCTTTTACAATACATAAATACAGACGAAAATGTATTCCATTGTGTTCAAATGTGCGTTTTTCACTTGGAAATGTATACCTAGAATGGCCAAGGCCACAGAATTCTTGACAGGGCATCTTTCCTTGATGAATAGCTTTTCAGTGTCTCCTGGAAGTGAACTGGGTTTCACAGCTACATGTATGTTTTGTTTTGTTTCTGGATTCACTTTGAATACAGCATGTGGATATTCCAAGAGAATATGCCAGTTCCTGTTGAGTTGGGGGGAAAAAAACTTGAAAGGATCATAGTAAGTAGAACTGAGAGGCATTTTCATTCATAATCCACTGGAGACAAGTATTGTTTTAGGGAAGTGACACATTTAACTTGGCTTTATTTGGGTGAGAAAAGAGTTTGGAGAAAAACTAAAGGGAGACAGTGTTTTCAAAGTGTAATTAACTTAGATAACCTCTGCAGAGACAGGCTTGATTTTTTTTTTTTTTGATTTATAACAGGTGAGGTAGATTCAAGTGAGAAAAAAGGTTACCAAACAATGTGCACTGTGCTAGGAGGACAGCAAAGGTCTGTGTGACAAAGTTGTCTTGAAATAGTTCACTCAGCTTCTGAGTCACTGTTATCTGCTAGCAGTTTCCCAAGGGCCCTTCCAGTTGTATAAAACCTTTTAGAAGGCCACAGAGCTATTTACATATCATTTGCATTACATTTGCATCTGCTTCCCAGACCTTGCAGTCTAGTGGTAGGCAATTTTTAAATTCTTTCTCCCCACACCCCCAGTTATTTTCTTTAAGCTAGCTTCTTCCCCTTTTCATGCCTCGGGACCTTTTTCTCCAAAATGGAATGGCAAAGGGTGGGAGACCCAGTAGGTCACACAGGTGGAAGCAAACCAAGACTGCCCCAAAACTGGTGGCTTAGGACCAATTTGCAATGCTGACCAACAAAAACGGTTATTAAGACCTTTCCTTTGCCCTTCCGCCAAATTAAAGCTGTCTTTTTGTACTAATCAGGTTGAAGTTTCTTGGCCTCTGCACCCAGAAGATGAAACAAGCTCCAAGGTTTAACAAAACATGCAACTTAACCAACCAAATAACACTCTGAAATGGAGTGGATCAGTTATTCCCAGTGTCAGCCTCACCTGTAGCAATCCAAGAAGCTCAGGCTTGAAAGATGTAAGGCAGGGGCTAAGTTTATCACCCTGGAAGCGCTTTGAGGGGAAAGTGCAAGTTTTATGTATCATTTCTGCCCCCTACCAAATCCTAGCCAGCATATGGCTTTGCCCTTACTGTATGATCCATAAACCCTGATTAAATTGAATTGTGAACTTGTGTCATTTCTCCATAAATAATCTGTCCTTATGTCTCAGGTTTCTTTCCTTCCAATGTCATTTATATTCACCTTCCTCTGGCAGTTCCCTCAGTTTTCACCCTCCTTTACAGCCTTCCTACACTACTTAATACATCTTTGCCCCCTAATAAGTTGAATGAATGAATCACGATATATTGGGATTAGTGCAGTATGCACTGAGCTGAATTCTCCCACTCAGGCCATTCGATCTACCTCTACGAAACCAATCTTCTTAAAAAACACGTTTCACTATATCATTTCCCTGCTTAATATTCTACAATGGCTCCCTATTGCCTTTTCTCACAGTTAAAACTATGATACTTAAAATGGTTGACAAACCCCCTACTTCCTGCCCATCTGGATTTACTCCACTTCTGGCTCACTCTTCTTCATCCACACTGGCCTTCTTGCTGTTTTAGAAAATGTCCTGTCTCAGGTTATTTGTACTCAGTGTTCTCTCTGCCTGGAACATTTCCCCCAGATATTTTTATAGCTACCTCCCTGACCTTGTACAGGTCTTTACCTCTTCAATGAGGCCTTTCCTGTCTACCCTATTTAAAATTGCAACTCCACCCCTTGACTTATTACTCTTTCCTGCTTTGTTTTACTCAATTTGTTTATTTTCATCTTCACCAATTAGAATGTAAGGTCCATAAAGGTAGAGATTTTTCTTGTTGTTCATTATCTGTCCCCAACGTCAAGATAGTGCCTGGTACATATTTAGGTACACAATTCCCTTTCTTTCTTTCTCTCTCTTTTTCTTCCTTCCTTTCTTTTTTTTTTTTTTTTGGTGTTATTGCAAATATTGTTTACTCTATGGGTTGCTTTATTACTCAATTTTAGTGGTGTTCCACTTATCAATATTTTCCTTTATGTTGATGTTTGGGTGTAATGTCTAAAGACATTCTTTCATAATTCCAAGGTTTCAGTAAATATTTGTTGAATGAATGAATGAGTTACAGTTTCTTACACATTTGATCCTCAGATCAAGCTCAGTGATTAGACCAGTGCTTCTTTGACTTTAATGTGCATAGGAATCACCTGCCGATCATGTTAATAAAATACAGATTCTAATATAGACTGGGGTAGGGCCTGAGAGTCTGTATTTTTAACAAGTTCCTAAGATGCGGCTGATGTTTCTGGTCCATGTGTCGTGTGTTGAATAGGCTTTGGCATTATATTGGCCTGTTAAGGCAGGCTGTAAGACACCATTCTATGACACTTGCTATATTTGTTTCTAAGGCTATAGTTTAGAATGCTAATTACCATATCCTACTATGCTTTTATTGTAAAGACCCACTAGAGGACTTTCTCTCAGGATGTAGACAGAGAAATAATTGGGTGCTCCTCCTGGACATTGATTGAATATTTTAAATCTTTACAATATGCCATATAACTGTTTGTGTTTCTCACTTTGTATTGGCTACTAGGAAGTGGCCAGAACTGTGGTCTATATAAGCTAGCATACAGTGCCTTATCACATGTATTTTTGTTTCTTTAATTTGCCAGCCGGCACATGCATTTAACAGAGCGAGACAGAGAAACAGAGAGAGAAAGGAAGCAGCCCTCCTGGGAAATGCTTGCACCATGATTCTTTCTTCTCCATTCTCCCTCCTTTCAGGATTCATATTTTCCAGACACCAAGTCTGGGACTCAAACCACACGGTTAGTTATATGGGATCCAGCTCCCTGAACCATCAGGCCATGGGCAGGCCCTA